GAAGACATTGAAGAGTATCAGTCCAAGGACCGAGCCCTGCAGGACCCCACTGCCCACTTCCTTCCAGGAAATGACCTGCTCGGTAGCATGGAAACGGAAAGGGATCTCGGAGTCCTAGTGGACTCCAAGATGAACGTGAGTCGTCAGTGTGACAAAGTCATCAGCAAAGCTAACTGCACTTTATCATGCATCAGCAGATGCATGACAAACAGAACTAAGGAGGTGATACTTCCCCTCTGTCGGGCACTGGTCAGACCGCAGTTGGAATACTGCATACAGTTTTGGGCACCTTACTTTAAGAGAGATGTGGATAACCTGGAGACAGTCCAGAGAAGGGCCACTGGTATGGTTAAGCGCTTGCAGGGCCATGCCCTATAAGGAGAGACTAGGGCACCTGGACCTCTTCAGCCTCCACAAGAGAAGGTTGAGAGGTGACCTTGTGGCTGCCTATAAATTCATCATGGGGGCACAGAAGGGAATTGGTGAGGTTCTACTCCAAAATCTACACCAAAATCTGAAATGAGCTCACAAGGGAGGTGATGCTCTCCCCTACCCTGGTGTCTTCAAGAGGAGGTTAGATAGGCATCTGGCTGGGGTCATCTGAACCCAGCACACTTTCCTGCCTATGCAGGGGGTCAGACTCGATGATCTACTGAGGTTCCTTCCGACCCTAACATCTATGAATTTGTCTATTATTGAATGGAGAGGTTGTGGTCAGTCTGAAGGTTTGGGTCTGCCCAGAACAAGGTATCTGGGTCATAAATCTCTGCCAATACCTACCTCTTACTGCACCTCTCTGCAAGCAAACCTTTCCTCGCAAACTCTCTGTAGGCTGGCCTTTTCCTTTATAACCTGCTTCCTCTCACCAACCTTACAGTGAAGGAAGATGAGAAAGTTTCCAGGCAAACTCCATAGCAAACATGAAGAACTAAATTTTGCTCAGGTGGTTTCCCTCCCTCTCTCTCCTCCCCTTTCTTTCTGTCATCTTTCTTTCTTTCATCCATGCCTTTATTTGTTTAGGTCTGTAGAACACCAATAGAGAGTACAGCAAGAAGAAAATGATTATGAGTGCACCCAGGACAACTTGAACTTCTCAAAGAGTCTGACTAGATGCAGTCAGGGTTCAAACACAGACTCTGGGAAATGACTGATTTACAGCCTTAATTTATAATGTGCCTTAGCTGAACTAAATTATACTTTTCTCTAGACTAACGTTTCACTCCCCCTAAGACAGAACAGGAAAATTCCTTCATCGTGTTGCCTCCCTGCTATGGATTTGAAGCAATTGAACCACTTTGGATTAGCTTCAGCATTTTCTGAAATGCTAGCTACATGGCGATGTATTGTAACCAAGTCATGCACGCACTGCAGTAACCCCCACCCATTGTGCCCACATACATACATTTCTCCAATCTGTGTAGGCATGTTGAGGGGGAACTGCTAGCTGTAGCTGGCTTAATATAGTCCTGCAGGGATCCACTGGCAACCCTACTATTAGTGTTTTAGAAACTGCAGTCCAGTAAAAGTGTCTGACCACTTTTCCTAAACATATCTATTACCCATATTTATTGCACTGTGTAGCGTATATGAAAACTCAACGATCCTTTGAGAAGAAAGGGATGAAGAAAAGCGTTTACTAATTGGTACCTATAAAAATGAACAGGTTTAAATCATTTAAGACTCCAATTGAGCAAAGCTCTTCAGCATGTGCTTCAAGGTTAGCATATAGGTCCCACTAACCTAAAAGGCCTAATCCAAGGCCCACTGAACTTCATGGGAGCCTTCCCACTGACGTTGTTGAGCTATGAATCAATTGCTCAGTGTGTTCCTCCTCCCCTAATGTTTGAGTTGTGGAATGGAGGATGGTGCAACAAGTCGCATGCTGAATTTTGATAAAGATATGACAAAGATTTTCAAGAGTTAGATAAGTAGGAAGGAGCAGAGTCTACAATTTCAAATATAATTTTCTGTTCCCACAACCTCCATTTTTTCGGGTGCCCAACTTGAGACACCTTGAAGTAACTTGGTTTTCTACAGGGAGGTCATACGTAGGCATTTGATTTTTAGTACATATTTGGGCTTCCAAAAAAAAAAAAAAAAATCAGTATCCACTCAAAAAGTAGGCCAAGCAGTGCCTTGAAGTGGCAGTTGCTAACTTTGTATCTATTTGCTTGTAGAATCATTCATTCAGAAAAATAACAGAGAAGGAACTCTAAGGTTCAGCTGGAAGGAAGAGGACAAGGCTATTGATGAGCTTAAAACTATCTCAAGATGTAGAGACAACAAAAGCTAGACTGGAAGAGACAAAGAAGAGTATAAAATCTTGACAATAATGAATTGACAAAATGCTTAAGTACTAGCAGAACTAAAAGAAACTCTTCCCTCAAGCCCCACCACCAGGACTATATAAAACGATACTGGACAAAGCAGTGAAAGCCACAGTCTCCTGCTGATATAAATGGTGCATTAGGCTTTGAAGGGAAGTTTTCTTCTGTTGTTAATTTTGTTCTACAATTTAATGCTGTTCTCCCTTCCCCACCCTCTACCTGAGGTAACTGGGAAAGACCCTCCAACCCTCTTCACAAACAAACTTCATCTCTTTAAAAATGATCCAGCTATGATTCCGATGCAGAGGTTTAATTAAGAAACATCAGACACATATGTTGTTATCAGTGTGAACTAGAAATGACAGCAGATGTAAAAAGCTACTAGTAAATGGCATGCAATTTAGTCAAACTACAAGACAGTACTGTGCTGATCAGTAAGGCCTAATTTTTCAGAAGTGCTGAGCACCTAACACTCCAGTTGGCATCAGTGGGAGTTTTAGATGTTCATCACCTGTGAGAGTCAAGTACTAATTGTCTAAGAAATACATATTCTCTGTCTGAAAAAACTTGGACATCTGCTACATATTACAACTAAAGAATCAGAGCACACAAGCCAGTGAGTGACAATGCTGGATTGACCTACCCTGCTTAAGAAAAAAAAAACACAGGAATGCCGTGTTCTTTTTGGAGACCCCTTTGAGACCATAGCTTGGATTCTCCATGACTTAGTCCACCTGCAGCAATGGAAATAACCTACCCAAGGATGTCTATACACAAAAAGACAGAGCCATATGTCACTAGAGAATGACAGCCCATTAGCCCAGGATACATTTGGCAATTGTAGATTTTGCCTCCCTCTCAGCTTTCCCACTCACATCTCTTTGCCTGGATTTCTGTGATGTTGTGATCAGTAGGGCGAGGGAGGAATCTCTAGGATTAGAGTGCTAATCTGGAGACTAGGTTTAAATTCCTGGTTGTACCATAGATTTTCTTTGTGAGCTTCGGCAGATTATCTAGGGACAGATCCACAGAAAGACTAAGGTATTGTAGCATCTACTTTTAGGTGGCAAGTCTTCCTATGCAATGCACAGGGAGAGATAGGTGCCTTAGAATAGGATCCATGAAAAACCAGTGTGCTAAGTGGGCAGGTACCTAAACTGGCTCACTGGAAATGCTGAAGAGAAGGGAGTTAGTTGCCTACAGGTGTGTCTATACTGCAGCTCTCACAGATGAACTAAACTAGCTTTAAAATAGCTACTTCAGGTACCAACAGGAGTGTAGCCACAGCAGCACACACCAACTACTTGAGTATTTATCCAATTTTCTGAGTGACATTTGCAGTCCATGCTGAAATCCTTGCTGTCATAGTTATGCAGCTCACAGTATTCAAGCTACATAGTTTAACATTAGCTCAGGTATGACTACACTACACTCACAAGTGTATGTTTGTGATTAGTACAGACATACCTTAGACTACAGCTGCAGGGAAGTGCCTATCTCCACTTCAGATTTACACCCACAAGTCATCTTCTGGATTGGCACCTAAAGGCATATCTACATGACAATACACTGCCATGTAAAGATACCTTGAAGCTGTGTTACATTATGTGGGCTAATTAACCCTAACATTACTCTAGACAGCATGGCATGCTAACATGGCCATACTGTTTCTAACACTTTAGCTCAGGTATCTCCATATGACATGTCACTGACAGTGCCTAGATGGAGCCCCTGTAACCTGTTGTCAATGAGAATGGAACCCAAGACCTTCTGAATCCGAATGCAATAAAAGCTGTGTTATCCAACATCCATGGGGAATGGGGAGTGCCAGTTAATCAAATATGCCAGTTATCTGAAAGGCATCTTTGCCTGTTCCAGCCGCCGCCCCTCCCGCTGCGTTCCGTGAGCCAGGGCTTCCACTCCCTGGTGTCAGTGTGCCAGGGGACAGTGAGGGGGGCCCCCCGTACAGGCTGCTTTGATCCAGGCTGTGGTCCAAAGTCAGCGAAGTGGGACTCAGCGAAACTGGAAGTGCCATGGTGGGACTTCCGGTTTCACTTTTGCCACATCGATCGGCATGCCGGTTAATAAAGTGCTGGTTAACACAGCTTTTACCGTATATGATAGAAGCCTGCCCAAGCAAGGAGACCCAAGTCTGCAGCTGAGTTTGGTGCAGATGTGGCTAACCATGAATGCCCCAACTGCTTTTAAGAGTGGACAGAGTCCCACACTGAGTGCCTGCAGCTACATACCCTTTTATGGAAAGACTCTCTCTTGAGATATTTATGGTTCATCCTTTTTGCACAGGAAAACACATTCTTGGAACAGTTCCCACAGACTTTTGTATTATGCTATCATTGTCCATCCACCTTCCAGGCATGTTGGCTCCTGTTTCATGCTGAATTGCCTGCCATTGCCACAAAGAGCTGTTGGGGTGGCAGTGCAAAAGGACATAACACACACCAGAAGCCTTCCATTTGCCCAGCCTCCAACAAATACTACCTGTTCTCCCCACTTTCGCCTGAATGTTACATGATTCCCAAGAATCGGTGTGACAAGCATACGCCTGCCATAACCCCTACTTTGTGATGCTTACCTGACCCTTCCCCTTACCTGTTGAGCATGTTGGACTGGTATATCCTTTTTTCCTGGGTGTTATAACAGCTGCTCTTGGGCTCAGGGATGAAGCTGTGTTCAGACAGCATGTCAGAGGCAGCCGTGGTGATTATGGCTATCCCATCCCTCACCCTGGCAGGAAGACCATAGTCCCACTCATCATACGAGACAGAGATGAGCCCAGTGGGGAACTCAGATGGCACTGTGTCTGTATCGCCTGCCACCAGGCTGGGCACGATCCATGTGTAACCATAGCCTGTCAGACCCACAGAGTTGGCTACCTCAAAGATATAAGTTGCCTCTTCCTTGGTGCAGTAGAGGAGGATAACAGGACTCTGTAGCTTCTTGAGCTGGTTTTGGATCTTTGAGTCCCCATCATCTAGGGACATATCCAGCAGGAGGACCTCCTCCAGCTCCCAGCCCACAAAGCTGTGCTCAATGGTGCTGCGAATCTTGTTGACAAAGTCCTGGTAGCCAGGGAAGTAGGTGGTGACAATGGAGAAGATATACCAGTCATATTCTTCCATAATGTTGAGCATGACAGAGGCTTGCTGTTCTATTGATGGGCCAAACTGGAAGAACATGGATGACTCATCCTAGAAGAGAGCCAAAAGAAGAGAGAGAAAACAAAAACTGGTCAAAACAAATAAAAATCAGAGTCCCTAGACAATTCCAGTGAGGAAGGAGAAAAAACTAGGTTGCACCCCTTCACTTCGGAGTTTGGGCTTGGCTCAAGGCTTCTTAAAAGCCAGGCAAATTGGAAGAAAAGAAACCTTTTTATGGTGCTTTTTCTTCTTTTCTTTTTAGCGGTGGCCGTTTAAATCTGCTCAGAGGTCTGGAAGGTCAGAAGCAAATTTGGCAGAGGAATGTATGGCATGCAAGTGAGGTGGTCAAAAATAAAGAGAAAATGCAGATTATTCCATAATTAGAGAGATTAATGAACTTAACTTTTTGTTTATCCTAACATCATATTTGACATAAACAGAGATACACTAGTGTGCAACACTATAAGTGTTTTGGCAGGGTCTGGGATACTCACAGCAAGTGAAACTTGGATATACAAAATTATTGCCAAAAAGCAGATATATCACCATTTTACATATCAAATGTTGTTTATACTTTGTTTTAAAGGAAAGCTTTTAATATTTCTATTGGCATAATTTTTCATATCCTTCCATCAAAGTCATTACAATACTGTTATCACCATGCCCATATTTACACAAAAGAAAACGAGAACTGAACAGTTTTGGAGGTTATAATATTATCTGAAAGAGGTTTTATATGGATTTCTGTTACTGAATCACAGTGCAAGCGTTTTTCGTCCTGGTAGTTCACAAGACATTAGATTTACAATTTGTCACTAGTCCAATGAAATTTTAAATCCCTGCATTTGTCTGAGCTACATTCAAAAGGAATTTATTTCCAGAGCAGGCTCTATTGTGGACTAGCCTTATACCCTTTAAAGTCAATTGCCAAGTCCCTAATAAAAAGTGGTAGAGTTAAATTTTGGTATTCAGAAGAAATTCATATTATAATAAAGTCACTATTCAAAATCAATTACCATTTTTAGGAATGAAGCAGCAGCCCTTCCTCTTCTCAATTAGCCAGAAGACCAGGCCTAGAAGTGGCAGTTAGGTATGTCAAGTCAAAAGGAATCCACTGAATATAGTAAACTGATAAATGCCCTATAAATTTACATGCAACTGAAGTTTAGAAAAGAGTAAAGAACGGATCACTACCAAGTCTAGTCTCCTTTAAAGCAGGCTAAATGCTTTTGCACCATTTTAATGGTGTCGGTG